ATTTGGTGGATAGGAGGAGAGTGGGCTTTGGGTAAAGTGGGCATGGGCTATTGGGTAGGGTTGATAGAGCCGAGACCCTAACAAACCGGGTTGGGGGGAGGGGAATTGTCCAGGTGCGTGTCCCAATTGTGGTTGTCGATGGAGTCCGCCGCCGCCACGTCCTCGACCGCGGCCCCTGCCGCGGTTGCCACCGCCACTGCTGCCGCCCGAAGTCCGGCCGTGTCCACCGTAGCCGCGTCCATCCGTCGTCCGTCCGTGCTGCTGTGCGCCTGCTCCAAAGCCGCTGCCACGTGCTGAGAAGGGCAGTGGGCGGCGCTCCGGTGCCGTAGAGAGAGTCCTGCTGCTGCTGTTCGACGAGAAGTAACACTGACCGGACCTCTAAGAAAGTGGGGAGGGGATTCTGATATTGCAAGAATTGAACTTGACTCCGGATTTCATGGGGTAAACCTTGGAGAACTTGAAGAACGAGAGCATGTTCGGTCACCGGTGCGTCCACGTCGTCAAGGTATTCGGAGAGATTTTTTAGTAGACGAAAATAGTCGTTCATGGAGCGGTTGCCTTTCACAGTGGTGCGGAAACGATGCTCCAATTGCATCGCCTGTGCGTGCTTGTTGTCGTGGAAGAGGTTGTAGATGGCCGTCCAAAGAGCATGAGCGGTGAGATTGTTGGCAAGGACGAGATCGGAAACTTCATCCGTGATGGTGGACAAGATCCACCCTTGAATGAGGGCATCAAATTGATACCATTCAGCGTCGTCAGCGGAAGAAGCGATGGTGGTGCCGTCGATGAATCCCTTGAGGTTGAATCGGAGAATCAAGAGTCGAAACAATCGACTCCATTTTTTGTAATTTGGCTCGGAAAGACTAAGTTGCACGGGGATATGGAGTTTAATATTTGATATAGTTGTGAAGGCTAGATGATGGGAATTGTTGGAAGAAGAGTTGTCGGAGTTCGAGACAACCTTGCCGGAAGATGGGGAAGAAGCAGCCATGGCTATTGAGAGAGAGAGGATCGGTGGCTGTGTAGGGGGAGGGGCTGCCAATCGTAAGGTTGGGGAGAGACGGAAGCCGAAGTTAGGGCTCTAATACCATGTAGAATGAATAATTTCCAATAAATTATTATGAGAGATTACATGTGTATATATACAAAGTTTTCCTAATCACACTAGGAAACAATAATAAATGCATCCTATACAAATATGGTAGCTACCAATATACATGAATATTAAATATAGTAAGAATATATTTAACACCATTAAACAAAATAAGAACCATTTTAAAGAATGGATGGTGTATATGTGTTAATTTGTGGGGTAATAATTTTTGAAGTTATAAATTTTTAAAAAAACTCAAAATTTATATTATATAATAAAATACGAATACGAACCAAATATTTGAATTTTACATCAAATCGAATACGATTACTAATAATTATTCGAATTAAAAACGAATATGAATATGAACAATGGTATCATTTTTCAAATACAAATAAAATCTTATAGTATTCGATTCGATTCGTTCGTTTTACAACCCTACATAAGACAATCTTTAAAACTCATATCTGGACTATACCTTAAAAATCTTTCTTCAATGTGTGATTGAAGAAAATTTTATACGTAGTTTATAAAAAGAACCAATAAGGATATTGTGTTTACTTAGCGTGAATTTTTAGATGATTTTTTAATGGTACTAATTAGCTTTGAAAATGCTAAAAAATACTTCCTCTATCCGGAAATGTTTCTCATTTTCTTTCTTGGTTCGTCCGGATATATTTTTTCCATTTCTTTTTTAAGTCTACTTTTTAAGGATAAATATTAATAATATCCTTCTATTTTACCACAAATCTATTTTTTATTCCTTTTTTAATAAGAAAAGAAGCGCTAAAAGCTTATAATACGTGCATTTTTGAAAATTTGTCACTTTGTTTTACTACTCCCTCCGTCCCATTTTATAACGCCTGTTTCAGTTTATGATGTTTTACTGAAATTATTTTCAAATCATTTTATATGACAAATGATATATAGTTAAAAAATAAAAATTACATATTAAAATACTACATCAAAAGATCTACAAAACTAATAGTGACAATAGTACTTTATTTTATCAAATTACTAACGAAAATTGAAAAAGAAAGTGAATAAAGTTTGACTCTGTGAATAGTGAACATGCATTATAATTTGGGACGGAGAGAGCACTTAATAAACGTGTCAAGTTAACACGTGAAAATATTCTGGATGGAGGGATTATTAAAGCTGTTCCCTAACATGCCCTCACCATATCTAGAAGTACAGCAACCATGGTTAGGGCAATAAGAATTATACAAACACAATACCGAAGGTGCCCCAATTGGAGGGAGTATGAATAAGGTGGTGTTGGAAAGAAAACGTATAAGACTACAACTTTAGTCAAGAAATTAGGTTGAAATTTTGAGTTTTACATGGTTAAAGGTGAACTGAAATTCCTTGAACTGAAATTAGGTTGAAATTTTGAGTTTTACATGAAAAAATGTTTTCCTATCTCATATTTTTTTTCCATCTCATTTTCTTTTCTTTTTCCTCTCAAATTCCTTGAACCAAATATCGTGTTAACCTTCGTGCAAGTTAAATGTAAATGCTTCATGTCTTGAATTCACCATTTCCTCCCATTTCCTCCGAAATCCCCGTACATAAGAAAGGGTCAAAATTCAATATTTAAATTTTCGTAACTTGATAGCCAATGAAGGTCTGTCACACTCGGTTCATATTTTAACCCTTTTCCAATCTGCTGTCTAGGAATTTGCTCTCATTCCAGCTACAGATAGGCTAAATATTACAGTAAATTAGAGATCACTGAACAAGAAAAAAAATACTAGCCTCATCTGTATGTCTCGGGCAAGAAGAAGCCAGGCATAACAAGTTTGTCGGCAAGCATTTTGCCCGTCTTTGGCATAACATGCCAATGCAATGTAAGGTTGAATTCTTTACCACGGAGATTGCTTCCCTATACATGAATAAGAACTTTGTCATGAGAATCCGTGGAGGCATAAGGCAAATGAAATGTGATTCAACAGAATTGGTGCCTAACCTGATCAATGAATCGGTACTTGTTTTTTGTGTGCATCCAAAATTTTGCGTGCTCTTTAGAAGGTATTATAGCGTCCCACAAGGAAACCTGTTACAAGAGCATTCAGACCAAATGGAGGAAACAATGTTTGTGTTCACCCATGGCACAACACTGAAGTTTTCAAAAAGGCGGTAGAGCAGTAAGAGCACACACAAGACACGTTGAAACGTCATTTTCCAAATGTTAGGAACACACTTATGTCAAAGAAAACGTGCTAACTCATACATCAAAACTAAAAAGAAAATATTGATTTTGAACAAAACTTAAGCCCAATATTTAAAATAACAATTTTGAGCGCTCCATCTGTCACTTTAAAATCCATTTGGCAAAATGGAACGCTGAGCTAGCCATTTTAAAACCATTTCAAATCTACATGGCAAGGTTTAAGTCCAAACCAGTAAAATTTGCAATCTAAAACTCTAGAAATAAATAAACTCACAATTTAGAAACAACTGATTATAGCTGTTACTATATTTCTAATTTGTAAATTTGGAGACTTGAGCTCTTGCCTCTAAATCTTGCCACGGATTTAAAATGGAGTAGATATGATCACCTTAGATTCCATTTTGCCACATGGATTTACAAACTGGAAAATACATAACAAAAAAACTAAGTCTAGGACCTTTCAATTAATGAAGGACCAAACCTTTGTTCTTGAAGGGAGGACTAAAAATATACTCCCCTTGTCACACTACTTAAAGAAATATAAGTAATTCTTAATTAGTGTGGGTATATATTTTTTAAACATAGCAAAGTTAAAGTCAGCTAGCTCAAAGACAAACATAATCGGCACAATGATTATTAATTTATACAAGAATCCACTTACAAGAGCATTGCAAATCTCACATTCCTAGAGGTAAAAAAGACAAAAAAAAAAAAATAGAGTACTTTGGACAATATGATCGTCAAGGGTGGTATAACTAGTCCTAAAGGGCATTATTGATAAGTGATGGCGAACAAGTCCAATCTCCTATAATAATCACGATGGAAAGTACCTGAATCAATAATGGTAAAGAAACAAGAAGAAAATACCTGATTCAGGGCATTCTTTGGGGTTTCGTACTCAGCTGCCAAAAACACAAAAACCTGCAAATAAATTCAAAGAGGCTACACAACTCATATTCCATATAGGCATCCACACAAATATATTGACAAGAAAACTTTTGAGCAAGTACTAAGTTGTTTGAGTTCCTCAATGATTATGACACACAAACAAGTATACATTAGCAGTGTAATCAAAACTTACGAGTTACGAAATCACCAGAAATATGCAATGCAAAACAGATGACAATTCTATTAATCATGATGGGTTAATAACTAAACATACATCATTCATTACTATTGTGTGGTTATATAGCTTGCCAAGTTGACTGAAATAATATTCTAAGTACACTTTCTATCAAGACAAAGTCATGAAGAGAGTACGTTAAAAAAAATTGTGTAACTAAAAAAATATACTCCCTCCGACACACCATGAAGTTTATACTTACCTTATCATCCGCCCCAAAATGAACTTTACATCTCCTATTTCCTTTTTAAGTAAGGAATAAGTGACTCATAACATTTCCCTCCCTTCTAAACAAATTTCAAGTACACTTTCTATCAAGACAAAGTCATGAAGAGAGTACGTTAAAAAAAATTGTGTTACTAAAAAAATATACTCCCTCCGACACACCATGAAGTTTATACTTACCTTATCATCCGCCCCAAAATGAACTTTACGTCTCCTATTTCCTTTTTAAGTAAGGAATAAGTGACTCATAACATTTCCCTCCCTTCTAAACAAATTTCAACCACACACTTTTTACATTTCAACAATTTTCTTAAACTTCACGATGTTAAAGCGAGAAATGCATTGTGGGATGAAGGGAGTGTATGTTTCAATGCATATAGACGGACAGCTAGAAGCATTTAGTGATCCTAGTCCAGTGAAGAATTAAATAGATAGTGATTTTTCAGAATATCTTAGGTACACATGAACAACAATAATACATTCTAGTAATTTCCAACAAATATTCAAGCAGACTGCCATTTTTAAAATTAAAGGCACAATAAACACGCATAAGCGTACACCATTGGAGATTTGATGAAAATAAAGGCAATTAAAAGCCATACTGAAAGCAGAAATCCCCTTGAAAGGCATAAAAGCATACCATAGAACAATAAAGGAATGTGAAGTACAAGAGAACCCTGTAAAACTAGAATAAAATGGTGTATAATTGTAACAGACCTGTTTGGTATTCCATGTAAATAGTGACTGTAAGTCTGCCGACACATTCAATGTCAAACTCACCTGCATTGAACAAACAGATGATAGAAAGTTGGTCAACACACACTAAGAATAGCAAATAATATTTATTTGATGTTTGCATAAACAAGCACTAATGTATTACAGAACAAAAATTATTCTGACAAAGATATCAGTTCAGTATATTTCTCTGCATCAAGTTCAAAAACATTGAATTCCACTCTGCATCAAGTTCCAGAGAGATAGAAAATGACTTCTCGAATGTCATTTTCCACCAAGGGTCTGTTTGGAAAGATGGAAAATGACTTGTGTAAAATGATTTCTTGAAAATGACTTGTGGAAAATCAATTATACTCCGTATCACTTTATATGGTTTTCAGAAAGTTTAGAAAATGAAAAAAACTAGTTTTTGTTGTTATAACCTAATAAAACATGGTGAGTTTTGATCTGATAAGTAGAAGAAGAGTGGGAAATGTCTTTTGCCAAAAAAAAGGGGAAGACAAAATCCTCCAAATAAGGTTCATTTTTAGTTGGCTGTGGAAATCATTTTCTGTTGACTCCAATTCTCGAGAGCCAAACATCGGAAAATGGAAAATGACTTTCGGAAGTTATTGGCCCTCCTCCCAAACAGATCCTAAAGCCAATCTTTTCAGATGAACCTCTGAACCAGATCACCATTACTAAAATTCAAACAATATTAAGAGGAATAATTGTGTGGCACAGGTAATAAGCTGAAACAGTCTTAAATTCTTCTAAATACAAAAAT